GATCCTCTACCAGAGGAATTCAACAAATCGTACAGTCCGGAATATGGGAGAACGTTGTTTCTCCAAGATTCTGTCTCTTACTGGTTGTGTTAAAGTGTTAGTTTTGAATACATCATGTTGCCACGAAGTAGCCTCTGTTATTAATGTTGATTCGATTTTGATTCTTCCCCACATTTTCCTTTGTGTGGGGAACTGTCGTCACACCCCAACTGGACTCGACTCGACTCGACCTCGACTTCGATGGTGATGCTGTCAAATTTTTGGAATTTTGACGGTATTTCCCACGGGTGATGATCTGTCTGCAGGATTGACGAGTACAAGGGCTTCACAATGCTAGCTGCTCGAAAACGATTGCAGAAAAGCTTCGCCGAATATAGCGACAAGTCAACCTGCTTCACGACAACGCGCAACGTCGCGGGTGTTCGGTCTCAAGCCACAAGACTCTGAAGCCAGGCAGGACCGCGGCTGCCCGTCTGCCATATTCGTCAAACCTATCCATACACCTCTTCAACCTTTCCTGCTCGCTTGCTCATTACCTGGAGAACAGGAAGCTCGACGACGTAAACGAGCGCAAATCCGACACCAAAGGTTGTTTGGCAAAAATCCTAATTTCTAATTTCTGCAAATGTGGTGTCAACCAATTGCCCGAAGGTTGGCGTAGTGTTGCTGAGTCTGATGGTCAATATGTTACGGGTCTTAGAAAAACAAAGGATAAAAAATAAATTTCAAATTTTGGCTGCGGGGTGTTTCGGACGTTTCCTTGCAATCTAATATTTGTGGCTACAATATATGGATATTCTCCATCTTTATTGATTGCCCTTGGCTCGATGGTGTGATCCATTTCTCTAGTATGATGTCGCTTTTCCTGATTTGAGGCTCAAGTGGAACAGTCTAATTGTAAGTCTTCGTACATTCTAGATGGTGGGGGGAGGGAGCAATATAAAGGTCAGCCTACCTCCACATTCAAAACGGAATTATTATATTTGAACTTTGCTAGATTTCAATGGATTGATCCAAAGCAGAATTTGAAGCGCACACTCCAACCTAACAAAATTTCATAACAGCCTTCTTCGCAGATGAAATCAGGAGAGTCGGACACGGAAACAAGGTGCACGGTCCGAACTCACGAGAACCACGATGGATCCTGAACCGTTAATGCATTACCCAAAAAGCTGGTTGATAAAGGTTCAACATAGGCAGAGCTACTGTCTCCATGAAGCTCCCCATCATTAAACCGAAGAAAACTGAAGAAATTCATGCAGCAGCTTCAGGCCGGAGCGATTACGGTAGGCCTCCTTGAGCTCGACGGTGATGGCAGATGACGTCATATTCTGGAGACGGTGAGGGCAGCGAAGGTGGGCCTGATTCTGCTTATGGGGGAGGGGGGACATCTGAGGAATATTTTGCCATAAAAGTTCCCAATGGCGGCGCCCTCTGCGACGAAAAGTTTGGTGATGTGAGTCATGGGCAAGTAATTTTCTTGCGCCCCTGCTTGCATGAATTTAGCCAAGGGTGCTTTGGGCTTGGGTCAACCGTCACGTTCGAACATTTTCAGGGTTTTTGCGACCCCCTTTTCTCAAGGGGGTCACCCCCTTATCTCAAGGGGGTCCAGTTGCGACCCCCTCTTAGGTAATGGAAGTGCCGAATGTGCTGACTAAATGTTAAGTGAAATATTTATTTCACTCATTTTACTTCAAAGACAGTGAACTAAAACCTTTTAAAGACAATGAACTTCCATGACATAGAACAAAACATTTGAATATTGAATTCTTCACTGGCATTTGAATTGAATTCTTTTCAAAAAATCATTGAATTTTTTTCAAAAATTCAATGATTTTTTGAAAAAATTCAATTCAAATGTTCAGTAAAGAATTCAATATTCAAATGTTGTGTTCGTAAGTTCGTAAGTTCATTGTTTTCAAATGGACAATGAACTTCCATGAAATATGAACAGAACATTTGAATATTGAGATCTTCACTGAAATTTGAATTGAATTGTTTTCAAAAAATCATTGAATTTCTGAAAAAAATTCAATATTTTTTTCATGTTGCCCAAAACTTCAAACTTCATGCTTCCGAAAGAATCACAAGAGCAGTTCAAGGGAGTAAATCAAAGAGAGTTACGTTCTCCATCAATGCATCTCCTAAGATGAGCCCCAAAGGAGCAAGAATCACAGGGCACTGGCTAATGAAAGCTATTTTTTATGGTTAGCCTCGCGAGATCAAAATTTTTGTTCGCTCACAATCACGCCAAAATGAGGATGAAAGCGAAATGTGTAAGACCAAATGGAGGGATATCCAACAAGTAACATGAAGACTGACGAACTTCTGCTCAAACAGCTGAAAAAAGAGGAAGGATTAAAGAAGAGTAGGACTGACATGATTGCGTCAGAAACCGCCGCAGAAAGCGTTTGCGTTGCGGCGTCAACCTTGGAGCGCGGCAGGTATCACCCGGACGCTGGAAAACTGGGACGCGGCGAAGAAAAAGTTTTAGGAGAGTGTAACTTTCTTGAGACGTATTTGTTTCACTTATTGAGGTAGGTTTAAACTGTGCCTGAGGTGGCTTTACAGAAAATTGCAAGGATGACCTAACTCTCCCAAAAGTATTTCTGTCAGAAGCGGAAAACCCAAAATTCTGAGAAGGCGCACCTCCAACTTTGAGAGCTCATAAAATCTTTCGTATGCGACATCTTGGAAATTTGTGAAAAGTTTTAGAAACTTCAAATATTTCTCTAACAAAGATTATAAAAAGTTAAGTGATTGTCCCCTTTTTCAAAAATTTGCCCCGTTCGAACAGTTCCCGTGCAAAACCGAGTTTTTAAGCTTTCAGCGACTATAACTCACTTCATTTTGATTGCTGTGTTTCCCTCTTTCCATGGGGTGAAAGAGCAGGTTTTGCTCTTTCTAATAAAGCCCTAAACCATTTTTCAAAGTTCATTTTTCGAGAAAATCCCACGTTCGAACATTTGGATCCCATAGGTTTTTGAGCAGCACATGCGAGGTTTCGAGCTTTCAGCAATAATAACTTCCTTCAAAGAGCATGTTGGAAAGAGGCGAAGACATTTTTGAAGACCGCGAGGTTTCTTCTTTCTTATGTGTTTCACGATTTTGTGGAAGAACCGTCCGTAGAAAAGTAGGTTCCCGAAGAAGTTCAATTTCAGCCACAAGAAGTCAAACTTTTCATGGAGATGCATTCAACTGTTCTCTATTCCTCAAGGAAAACACCGTAATTTGCCCAAAACTGTCTCTTTGTGCATAATTAATCGAATCTAATGCGGTCTGCACAAACAATTCTTGCCCTCGGATACGCCACGCACGCGCCTGTGGCTGACAGTCCTCGAAATTGCGACCCCCTTCCGACCAAAATGCGACCCCTTCGTTCGAACAGTTCGAACGGACGGTTGACCCTGTTGGGCTCCATAGGCCGTTTTGTGGTCAAGTCAGTCGAATCTGACTGCACTGATGAGCTGCTCGCTCAAGAGACCTGAAGATTATCACCAACACCTGTCGTCCACAACTTTCGCGATGCAGACTGACCACTGAGCCGGCGGTCGTCAGTTAAGGAAGAAAAAGCCATAATAAACGAAATAGTTAATACGGTCCGTTTCGCTTCTTCTTCATACGAACCTTATTATTTCATCAAGCCCCGGAGTTCATCATGAGTTGGGATTGGCGAAATAAAGACACAGGGAAACACGAACAAACCTTGAACTGACGCACAAATTTATTATGTAGATTTGGGTCTTTTACTAGGGCACATGGAAGCGATACGTCGGAAGAAAATGTAAATAGTAAATATTTGATGAAATAAGCTGATCTGCTACCTCGAGACGAAAATGCGATGGCCATGCGCTACCACATTTCTCTTCTTTTAACACCTTGACGACAGCGCGGCAACTAGGTTTGCCGCGTTTTGCACGCCGCAATGGACATTGTGGCAACTATAGTTGCCACACCCTTTACATTCAGTTTTTTCTTGAACGCGCCATTTCTTCCCAGGTTTTTTGTGTTCATTTTTTAGGCCATACCACAACATAACCAAGAACCACGCGGCTTATAGAATGACCAAATATTCTTAGTTTGGCAGAGGTTTTTCGGACCGGACGAAAATATCCGTTCAGTTCATTCCTCATTTTCTCTTCATTAACACGAACATGTAGATAAAAAGAATATTAGAAGTGAGTACAAAGCTACTCGTTGTGGCAAGATATGTGTTTTTACCGAAAGAAAAACAAACACAAGCCATACAAAAATAATTATCTAGCAAAATCCTAAAGAAAGGTATGAACTTCGCTTTTCAATGCTGTAACACATCATTCGACCGCACTTTCACATGTGTACCTTCCAATAAGTTTGACACACGTTTGACACCGAATATCAGTGAAAACATTTTGTCGCATCGAAGTATTGCGTATTTAAAGCTCAAAATCCACAGATTTGTTGTGAGGCGGCGGCGCTCGCAGAACCGCTCTGGTCCCACGCGGCCAAAAATGCCAAAACGCGCGATGTCGTCAACGTGTTAATAAAGTGCCAGATCTTCGCAGCTCTCTGAATCGCTGGGATCGTGTGATCCGATCTCTACTGACCTCCCGCTTATTATGCGTGTCTGGGGTTTAATTTACTAGAGGCTTAGCAGACAGTACTGAAATATGCCCGATTTAAGTTTCGAGGCTTGGGGTCCCTACGGTTTTTCCATACTGTAGACCTTTTCACCCAAGAATAATCCGTTTTTATAGTTTTCATTGTGGCAAAATAATCTAAACACTAAGTGTGAATGAAATAACAAATGAAAAATGAAATCTACAGTTAAGATCAAAAATCTAAGTGAAAATTTCAAACAATTATTTCCACTTTCTATAATTTGAATAATACAGAGGATTTCACAGCAAACGGCAAGCACATAAAAATGTGAACATCAACTGGATTAACAAGCGAATGAAATATTTGAGATACAGTTATGGCTAATTTATGGCTACGTTCACTGTAATGAAGTGCGTCTTCTATAACGATTCTCCGATGTCAATAATTTCTTGAATGAGAAATTCGAGATCGTCTCTGGTGATCGCCTGGCTAGAGATGATCATTCGGAAGAAATTTGGTCGCTGTTTATCTGGCTGATAGCCGACCATCGTTGTACCACGTTCCATCATTCGCGCCTTGATCTTTGGAGCGATCTGAAGACTTTCGATCAGGATAAAATTATTAAATTTTGGAGCAAAATAATACAAGAAAGTACAAAAATTGAACGACGCAGTTGAGAGCAGAGCTCGCGACGAAAATACAGCCTTCGGAAATTAAAAGTGAAGGTGGTTAGTGGTGCAACGACGAAAAACAAACATGAGAAACGGGCAAGAATCAGAGATATAGGATTCTCATTCGCCCGTTGACTTCCGCATTTATGCTCATTGGTGTCCTTTTCGATGCTAACACTCTACTTAGCTGGAGGCTCAGACAGCGAGGGGGTGGGCGTGCCGCGGCGCTAGCGGCGCGAGGCCGATTATGTTAGATCTCCAGGGTCTCATCCTTGGCTGAGAATTTTGGATCGATTCGCATTCTTAGGGGGTCCGCCTTTGTATATACTTGGTAAGTTTCCCCTTCTCCGAGGCCCTTATCGTGAAATCCTCCCTTTAAGTATAAGCAATTCAAAAACTGCACTATATGTTGGAGCCTTCAACATCGTGGTTTATAGCCAATTAAGCTAGGTGGCTGACCATGCCACACCTACTAATAAGTTGTGGTAAATGTCACTAAAAGCAAGATCGAAGTGAAAAGGTTCCTAGAGGTGTAATCAGCATCACAATTGCGTGGAAAGCGAGAAGTGTGGGTTAGATTCCCACCTGAGGTTAGCTGTACTACCCATAACCCAGCACCATCCCTGTGAAAATCTCCGTCCTATCACGAGGGACATCATAGGGAGAACGCTATTGGGCCAGATATGAAAGCACAAAATGCTCAAACACGGCCATCGTGAGATTACAGATAGCGGTCGGTCAACTTTTGGGATATTTGTTTAT